AGAAATTGATCATGTTCTCTTTTCCATCGGTCAGTTTCATCCACTCACGATTGGTAAGATCATCAAGAGGCGGAAGAGGAGAATAAGCCATTGAAGAGAAGAACCGTTAGATAATAATATGATTAAATAATGCTTTGGAATAACCATGTTTATTTCAATTTTTTCAGGGCTTTTTATACTGCATAAAACTGACTAGGGAGAGAGAGGGAGAGATATATATGATATGGTCTCTAACAAAGAATACAACGGATGATATCATAGTTATATCATGAAAAAACAAAAAGATAGAGAGAATAGTAATCGCATGATGTTATTAGTACGTTCACCAGGTCTGGCATACATAGAGAACAAAGAGATCATAGTGAATAGTTGAGGACTTTCATTACATAACAAGCGAATGCACTTAAATGCGAGTGCGTGAAGAAAAAGAGAACATATAGCGAGATCATATATATATGATCAATTTTTTTTATTCTGTGTTATAGCGCCATCTTTATTATGAATGTATATGATAGATAGAATGTGCACACCAATCAATTTTTTTTCCTTTCCTGCCATTGTTTATCGATACGATGTGTGCATTCTGAAGAAGTACCTAAGCATTAAATATTGTGTTATCAATGATGTTTCTTTTTCTTCTCCTTATTGTCTTTTTACTATGTGACTGCGAGAATGATAAGATAATTTAAATTATTTATCATTGTTTATAGTTTACCATTTAACAAATTTTACAAAAGATAAATGTTTATGAAATGAAACACTATATAACATCTCTTCCTCGATTAAATCTAATACCTGCTTTACCTAAAAATCCACGTAATTATCCAATTATATTGATTGGTGCTGGTGGAATTGTTACTTTAGGACATTTACCAGCTTATAAAATAGCCGGATTTTCTGTAAAAGGTATTTATGATATTGATCAACAAAAAGCATTTGATGTAGCCAAAAAATGGCATATACCAAAAGTATATAATACAATCAATGAAGCATGTACAACATCAACAAATGAAAATATTATTTTTGATTTAGCTGTACCAGCAAACCAAATACAATCTGTTCTTAAACAACTTCCAGTAAATTCTCATGCACTTATTCAAAAACCAATGGGTGAAAATTTAATTGATGCTCAATCAATTGTTAATATATGTAAACAACGTCATATTCATGGTTCAATAAATTTTCAACTTCGTTATGCTCCTTATATACTTGCTCTTAAAGATGCTATTCGTCTTGGTTGGTTAGGTCAACGATTAACAACAGTTGAAATACATGTTAATGTAGATACGCCATGGACATCATGGCCATTTTTAGCAACTGTAAAACATCTTGAACCAACCTATCATTCAATACATTATGTTGATTTAATACGTGATCTTTTAAAACCATATGAACCTACTGCTTTACATTGTCGTACAAGTCAACATATAATGATGCCTCATTTGACATCGGTACGATCTTCTTATTCATTTGAATATACACATGATCCAATGTTATATGTAAATATTTATACAAATCATCATCATCGTTGGGGTACGAAACATGCACAATCTTATATACTTGTTGAAGGAACAGGGGGTGCAGCTAAAGCACAAATAGGTAGTAATTTTGCATATGGAAAAAATACAGAAGGACAACAAACAGATTATTTACAAGTAAAACAAAAGTCGATTGTCTTTCAATTGATCGATTTTATTTGTTTGTTTGTTTTTTTTTGGTAGATTTGTTCAGATGAAATAACTAAAGGTGAATGGATTGATATTGATTTACAAGGGCGACGTAATCTTCCTCATGCATTTATTGGATCAATGGCAGCAGCTATACGTCGATATGAAAATGTACATGATCAACCGTCAACTGATATTGAAGATGCACTCAAAACAATGATAATAATAGAAACAGCAAGAAAAAGTTCGACATATAATATGACTCCAATTCATTATAATTAAAATTGATGTATTCCAATTAGATTTTTTTTTTGTTTTACATTTGAAATAATTCAAACATATATAGACAATATAATTGGATAAAGGAGGAGGGTGTGTAAGGCCAAATCTTTTAAACTGCTTCAGAACTACTTTATTTCTATTAAATTTGAATATGGGGTGACTTCTGATTATTTATTTCAGGTTTATTTTGAAAACAATGACATCGTCAATTTTGGTCCCTAAGGTTCCCTCCAGGCATCGTCGAAAAACAAATTTCGCTTTTCATCGATCAAAGCTAGATATTCCTATACATTAAAGTGTGCTAATAACGAATGTCATAATAAAGCCTCTAAAAACTTCTTTGTTCTCTATATAGTCTGGACTACAATTTAGGCCCTATTTATCATTTTTGGGTCCTTTGTAAAAGAACCCTTCTTCAAACTTTAGTTGAAAATGCCTTTTCTAACTCAAAATTTTGTGCTCTATACGAATCTAAACTTTTTACGGCAAAACAAAGTTACCTTAAAATAAAAAGTTCCGATTCCAGGGTAAATAATGTCCATTTTTTCCTGTAAACAGGTATTTATCTCTCTGCTTTGTCATGAAAGGAGTTTAGTTGCAACGTCAAACTTTTACCATTAGGGTAGTTTTTCATGCTCTATCTATTGATGATATTAAAAATAAGAAAAAAGTTGTGCAACACTGTCAAAAATTAAAAATACTAAAGAATTTCAAAAAATGCTGTGGGGGACCACAGACACCAGTATAGGTGAGGGTGTGAGTGTCTTCTCTTCATTGGCACCCACACTCTCTATTCTCTAAATTTACGATATTGCTCATCCAATCATGATCAATCGTCATGGTGATGATATTTGCTGGAAAAATATAGTATTCTAATTAAGCACTGGAGAACTATTTTGGTTTGTTTTCTTTTGGACTCTGCATGTGAAATCTTATTTGGAAAAATTTCAGTTTTCGATCATCAGGCAGAGATGAGAAACAGAAGCATAATAACGGGAATTCGTATTTTATGACGAATAAATGCTACAGTGTAGCACTTGTGGAAGCCCTTCCGAGCTCCGTGGAGAAATGCTCGGCACTTTTTTCGACAATACTGACTTGATTATGGTAAAAAAAACGTGTAGAAACTCAGCTCATCATCAACATCTCTTGTAATGCAGTGTAGGAGTTTTTTCTTATATAATTTTGTGTTACTATAAGCGATGGCTTTCATGTTTGTATTGATAATTGTAGTTCTATTACTGATTTGATGCTATGTTTGATTGTCTACGAAACATGACTGCATATGAAGACATCAATAAAGTTAGAGTTTTTAGAGATAACTTTGATGAAGCTATCTTCTATCAACATACAATAGGAAATGAGGTATATACTTAGTGCTCACACCTTGTCAACGCGAATAATTCCAACTACTTGCAAACATTTGATAATGGATTCAATATTGATGTATAGACCAACAGTAGAAAAATATGATCAAAAGACTACTGTGAATAAAATCCTTGACAAAACCATATAGATGTATTTTGCTTTGGCAATGTAGAGACAACGACTTATATATACTTATATGCTTAAAGAAAGTGAGCGAGTTTACTTATCCTTATCATTATATTTAGTATCGGGAAGCCAAATATAAGCAACGTAGAAGAAAATGTTTGCTTTTCTCTCCTGTTTAAGAACTACGAAATAGTGAGCCAGGAACGATGAGAGGGATAAAGCAAGGCACGTGTAAAGGTATATTAGTGGCTTCTTTTTCCGATTATATCAGAGTCATGAAATATAGTGAATGAGGACAAATTTAATCGGACATTATCTCATCTAATATCCAATTGCGTTGTTGAAAGTTGGAAAAAAGAGCACTTGTGCGCATATTTTCAGTGTTCTTAACTGCGCATTTATGAGTGAGGAGAGAATTTTAATGCGTCGATTAAAATACACATCTAATAATTTCTGAGGAGATATGACAAGAAACAACCCGCGTGCTCTATCATGCTAAAATTGCATCGCAATTATGGCGTACTACGAATACATTTTGTCATACATACGTTCGCAGTGGAGTAATTGCGTCCCAGAATTCATATTTTGCGACCAATACATCATAGTTTGTCTGATCTCTTCACTTTTGTCAAATTACTAGTAACAAACACATACCATCATGAATTCATAAATCTCAGTATTCTTTACATTTCATATCCTGTTTCTTATAGAGCTACCTATAAAAAACACATAGCTTATCGATTTGTAAAGAGTGAAAAAGAACAAAGAGCTGATATGAATCGTCAGTGGTTATTCTTGTAGACCTTCATCTTTGCATTTAACGTGCTATGTTTCACCATGATTACATCATGCAACCATTGTGTCCACAGAACTTCAAATTTAGTATCTTTCAGATGAGATTTGTGACGAATGGGTTCTACAAATACAGTTTGAAAAAAGAACCTGTTACGACAGAACACCTCTCGCCTTCCAGAAGGCGGTATTAACTGTCTTTCACCAACGACTTTGCTTCAAGAGCGATCAGATCAGGCACACATAGACTGTCGCAATTTTTTTCAGTCCAAGCATTCAGCTGCATTATCAAAGAGTTTAGTGTTTGGAAAAAATGTAGATTTATATTCTTGCTAACGTGAGAATCATCACTCGGGTTGTTTATCTATATTGAAAGGTAGGTTTTTCATCGTGAAGGAAAGTCTCGAAAAAAAACGCTTTAATGAAGGCATGATTGTCAATGAATGTTAAAATTTAGGTGAGAAAAGCAAATACGTACTGCCATATTTAGCGTGACAAGCATATCAACATGTTATTATGGATTTTTTGACCGTGGTGTTCTGCTTTTCCAGTTCCATAGAATTTTCGATTTTTTACATGAGTATCATAGTTTTGCACACGGACATCACTACAACTTCAAAACAAGAGAAGGTCACCGCATGCACTCGCTCCCACGGTTGATACGACTCTAGTTTTACAGCCCTCAAACTTAGTAACTTTGAAGAATTTGAGACTTCGTTAAACGCCATTGATAAATAATTACGAAGGCTTACAAATACTTTCTCTCATTAAATTAGATGTATTATTTAAGAGCTAGAGAATAACAATGGCCATATCTGTCTTTTTATTGGTTGAAATTGATCAGCCAGCAAATATTCAGTCCGGAGTGTCTTTCATGTAGTACAGTATAGAAATACTGAAAATATTTATATGAAAACAATTGAAAAATAGTTTTCTTACTTTCAAAAATAAAAAATATACGAATTATTTTTTGAGTGTGGGTGCTGTGGATGTATGGTGCGGATGGATGGATGTAAGTGTGGGTGTGGATCTGGTTGTTTCTTCTCTTCAACCACACCAATAAATACACAACTCACACTCGCACAACTAATGCACCCACACCCTCAACGTAAAGTTATTTATTGTTGTCGTTTCTCAAATAGTCCTATTCAGACTCGAAGCTTAATATAAACTGGACCTAAAGATAAATCTGGATATAGATCCGGACCCAACAAAATCTAAATTTCTGGACCTGATCCCGATAATAAAATAAATTTTTCAGTCGGTCGAACTCGGGTTTGACAAAACTCGAAGCTCCCTATCTGACAAAAGCAGCACAAGATTTCTTTTAGAAAAGGGTCAGCGAATTCATCGGATGAGCATTACTTGTAATTTGAATTAATATACGTGACACTAAGTCCTAAAAAAGCTTGTTTGGTGTGCTTAGTTGATCAAAAATCAGATACAATTGTAACTGCTTTTGCACATAAAGATTCAGATAACTCATTTTTTAAATCAACACGAAATTTAGTAGCTAAATCATTAACAGCACGAACAACTGTCTGTCGGCTTGGTAATAGTTCTTTAACATCTATAAGACCATATTCAGCACCTAGGAAGTTATAGAAAATATGTAATCTGAGATCTTTTTTGCGAGTAATTTTCTTACCTATCTTGATAAACATACTTGGCAGATGTTCAAAACCATAATCTTCAACTATTATAAATTGTTGTAGATCTGTACAAAACAATTTAGCACAAAGATCTTTCATTTCATTTTTCTCTTTGGTTGTCACTTTAGTTTTTCATCGAGAACTAACTTGATTTAATTTATATTGAACTAATTTTGAATCATATGCATATTGTCACTAGCAGTCTAACCAATAAGCATTGGTGATAACTAATTTCCCTGTCTCTCTATGTTTCTTTTGCTTTTATAAGTTGAAGCTAGAATTAGTTACCAAAAATCAAATTTTATTTGATAAAAGCACGCATAAAAATGATTAAAAAAACGTCTATACAATAACATAAAAAGAATAAGAATGTCTATACAATTACAAAAAAAAAATAAAAACCATCTACACATTGCAACAAAAAGAAATAAAGATTTTATTTGGGATTAAAATGCTCATGATAGACTTTAATGAATCTGAAACAAAATCAAAAAATAACTTATCTAAAAAAAGAAATATAAAAAATGTCTATATAAAAAGAAAAAAAGTCTTTTTTGTTATAGAATAAGTTTTCTACGAACCATTATTATGTCCAAATGTACTCAAGACACGTGACCGATAAATGTCGTTGCGTCGACACATGTGTAACTAGTGTGTCCTTTTGACATGGGTGATTTATGTTTCTCAAGGACTAAAAAGACACTGTTCTTCAGAATGAAAATTTGAAAAACTGATGTTCTGGTTTGCAGAGTATTACAATGTATAAAGACCTTGTCGTACTCTGTGAACACTTCTGGTGTCGAGCGTCCCTAAAAAAAAGAATAAAATTTGTATTTGAAGTGTTGAAATAAAAATATCTTTCTCTGACAATTGATCATCGTTCGAAAGTAAGAGTTGTCTTTGGAAAATTTTACATATCAGCCATTTTTTCTTAAAATAATCAAACTAATTAAGACATATGATCTGTGATATTTGAATCATAAATGAGTTGCAATAACTATATTTATCTTATATTATTTTACTAATATTATATTTAATAAATTGATCATAACAATCTTACTTTTCTTTTTAGTTTTCTTATTTATTTGATTTGTTTTTTGCTTTTTTTTTTTGATAAGTAAATAATTGTATATCGAACTATTCAAGGTGATTTGTGTTTATAAGTATAAATATGAATGATGATTAAACATTAAAAAAAGAACGAAAATAAAAGAGAAATTATTTGAATAGAAAAAAAGTAAGAAAAAATATATGGTATATGTATATGCCATCACTATCATCGAGTTTCTATTGAAATAACAAGTCAGCCACGAGGAAAACAAAAATAAAATAAGCTCTAATGACGACAGTCGTTTCGGTTGATTGAAAACAGACACATTATAGGTAACCTATACACGTACAGTGACGATTTTTCTTCAGTAACAAGTTAATTGATATCAACTGTTTATACATAAAAACAAAATTGAAAAACAACAAAGAATTGACAGTCAATTTAATCGTGCTGATATAAATAATGATGAAACAATTGATGAACAAGAATTTCGATAATTTCTTGGGCTAGTTAGAGATGAAAGAATACTATCTGCAAGTATAAATTATCAAGATATTCAACAAACTAATGTAAGTTTTACTCTCTTATTTAAGTAATATCTTAGAAATAATTTTAAATACTATAATTTCAAATATCTGATGCAGATCGAACAATAATATATCCGATTGGATTTGATCAAAGTTCCCGATTAGGGATGGATGGGCAGAAAGAGGCTTCTCTCCCCCAAATTTCAGACTTTCTGCCATAATCTTTGATGATACTTTCTGTCAAATGTTCAGCCTCCCCACTTCCAAGAACAATCGGGAACCTTGATTTTGATGTAGGCGTTGCTAATTTTATACAAAATCCAATAAATTATGAAATACATACGGGAGGTATTCAGCCGCCAGAAGTTCATATATATTGTCCTGGTCTTGATGTTGATAATGATGCACTAAATGTTGCTAGTAGAAGTCATCAATATGATCCGGCTGGCGTCATGTTTGATTATGCTGATGTTAGTCATGATGAAACAATTGATAAACTCGAATTTAGAAGATTTGTGAGTTCGGTTTAAATTCAATATTTATAATTAATTCTGCACTTCATTTTGTATTTATTTGTTCATTTTCTGTCGTCATGATCTCAAGAACGAAACCAGATTTAAAATCTATGATCCTATAAGATTGTATACAAAAAAATACGAAGAATAATGATGGTCGTATATAATACAATACGATTATATACAATGGCTGTAAAAGACCACCCTAAACGACGCTCCTCTACGATTGTATTTTGATCGCATATTTTTTTCATATCTATTAAGATAGGTTGATAGTGTTATATATGTGTCAGTTCTTATTACAAATTATTTATTTGTTTTATCTTTTCAACTGTATATGATCTTTATGCAATATGATTTCTAATTGTTAACAATGAGCTGGCTTGATTCTGGTTACATTTATTGTGTTGGGAAAGTGTAGATGATCTCTTATTTTTATTTTTGTTCTGAATCCTTTGCTGAAAAATGCTGTCTTGCAACTTACATAGACGACAAGAAGTAAATTCCATTGTTAATATCAATCAAAAATAATGTATAGATGTTTAACAAAAAAGATGATGTTTTCAATCTATCGCATTCAAGATTTAATTTTTACTAGGGATGTATAGCTCATACTCACGCTGATGAGTGTGAGCTGTACATTCCTGATCTTTATTAGATATATCAGTGTAGATATGTATCTTGACTTTTTTCTATACCCGATTTTATACAATAATTTATGTATTGATTATCGTATATATTTTTATATGACTAGTCAGAAAAATATTTTTTACGAAAATTATGGGTGCTGAATAATTTCATAAAAAAGTATATGCTCGTCCTGAGTGGTGAAGTAAGTGTTAATTTAGAAAAAATTTATTTTTACTTTTAGATTAATTATAATGAAAAGTCAAACAGTAAGTATTAATTTTTTACGTATTATACTGGCAACATATGTCTTCAGAAAGTGATTTTTTTTTTCTACTCTTACATCATTATCCTAACAAAAAATATACTGTTTTCATATTCGATCTGATAAAAAATTATTAAAATAATATTCTTTTTTTAATTTAGAACAAGTAATATAAAAAAATGCGTTTTTACAGAATGCTCATTATAAACAAAGTCGGAACACTTATAACATTTAGTTGAACCTTTTTTGTCCCTGAAAGTTTGACAAATCAAACATCGTTCGATTTGCCTACCATGCTAACTGGATAGTTCGGAATCATTCAAAAAAAAACGCTTTTAAATGGATTGAAAATATCCAGTTAGAATAGTGAATGAGTCGTTGGATTATGGATTGAAAATTTAACTTGTTCTCTTTTTTCTTGTTATATGTTTGTTGTATACTTAAGATATGATATTGTACCGAAGGCTTGTAATAATATAAAAAAAAACAGAAATGAATTTCTTTTTAAATTCAACAACATATATCAATTCGTAAAAAATGCTAGTTGCTTCCGTAAATTAGAAAATAACAAAATATTTCCAATGCATTGTCAAATTTTTGTGTATCGGTCAAAAATGATCCAGGCTGATAGTATTAGAGTTAAATAAATATAATTTTTTTATTTTTAGATTATTTTTTAACGACAAATCAAAAAGTAAGTATTAAATCAAATTCCTGAGCGTAGCCAGCTTGGCTGCATGTCTCAATTCTTTTTTTTTTCTCATGCAGCTTCGTTGATATAACAAAAAAGATATGATTCTTTATGCGTTATAGAATGAGAAAAAAAAAAGAGAATTAGAACCTCCAGCTAGACTGGGCACTCGAAATATTTGTTTTTTTATTATTTGAAGCGCGGGGAGGAGGAGATGCGGAAAGCTTACGTCGAACACGATGATAAACAACATTGTATACGATTGTTTATAGTGGTCGTATAATACACGTCGTATTTCATCGTATGCGAGACGACGATACACGGTCGTAATTCTTGCGTATATGACCGTACACGATCGTTTACGACTGTCATAATGCTCGTCCTGGAAAAGTTCAGAGAATACTCGTTGAAATGAGATGCAAATATCGAGATCGAATCGATATCATTTTTTCCCAAACCTTCACAAGAAGGTTTCGTTTCGTTGTCAATAAAGATTCAAGATAAGAAAATTTTACGGACTTAGTCTTTTTTGTGTTTCGAGATAATTAACAGCTGTGAAAATAGCTGACAATAGATAATTAAACGATCAATTGATATCGTTCATTAGAAATATGTCGATGTGTCTTTATTTCCTAATGGCTGGTTTTAAAATCTTCCAAATTTTTGTCAACTGATCGGTCGAAACATAAATTTTAGAATTGACAGGTACAGAAAAAAAAACACTGATTTCAGTGAAATGTAAATATTGTGTCGAAAAAAAAGCGATTTCCGACAAATCCTAAAAGCTATAATTCATTTTTATGACATATCATTATTTACAAAAATCGAGATCTCATGTATCGCATTGCATCTCGTATTCAATTTTCATTCGAATACTATCTGATTGATTATTTGAAAGTAGATTAACTAGTTAATAACAACCAAATAAGAACACGACATAAAAAAAAAACATCATCGTTTTAACATTTGTTTTAATTTAGACGTATCATTGTATTATTTTTTGATAAGTATGATTAAAACAAAAATGCTTTTCTTTTCTTTTCTTTAAAGAATAGCTTCCTAAAACGAAAAAAAAACGAAGTAAGGTTTTTGTTTTACAAGAATAAAGACGAAAGAAAGAAAGAAAAAAAATGTAATTTATTTTCTCTCTTATATTTTTGTTTTCATTTCTAGAATACTATCTATTTTATTCATTGCGAATTATTTATGATAAAATGACAATAAATTAAAATAAATTATTCTTTTCAAAGTGCACATGCATCAGATAATTGGTTATCAATCTTCATGTTAGCAAATCGTTGTACTATCATTCTAGTTGTGTGTTCAATTGTTTTTGTTCACGCACTTTATTATATTGCTAGATTACAAATTAAAAAAACTCAATCATCTATTATAAATATTGTATCTAGATTAATACCAATATCATGGTATAATCAATCGTCAGATAATCATCTAAACTCCGCTCAACAAACACAAGCACATCTAAACACTTCAAACTTAACAGAAGTAAGTCAATTACAATTAATATAAAATTTCTCGAGTGATCGAAAAATTTATTAACACATAGTTTCATTTGTTATCTATAAAACATTAAAAAAAGCCTCTACGAAAAATAGAATTATTTAGTATAAATAACACAAAAATGAATAATAGTAATAGATTTATTTTGTTATTTTAAGAAGACTAATCCTACTGTTGGTTTCAAACCAGCGAATATATCGCATAATCTCACAATAAATAATTCAAATATCAATATAACATTTAATCTTACTACTATAATTCAAACAACAACTTTACCAACAATATTAGTCTCATTTTTAAATGCATCATTTTATTCATCTTTTAATTTTACTACGTCATCTTTAGATATTAATAATTCTCTACCAGTTTGTAATTTTTCTATATCAAATAATAATACATCAATATATCAAGTAACTATAAATCAAACACTTTATTCATATGATATTATTGAAGAAAATCATGGTAAAGATTTATATCCAGGTGGACATTATATTCCAAAAGAATGTCGAACAGAACAACGTTTAGCTGTTATTATATGTTATCGTAATCGTGAACAACATTTAAAAATGTTTCTTAATCATATTCATCCATTTTTACAAAAACAAAAACTTGATTATACAATATTTGTTGTCAATCAGTATGGAAATGATCCATTTAATCGTGCTGCTTTATTTAATGTTGGTTATTTAGAAGCTATGAAATTATATCCATATGATTGTTTTATTTTTCATGATGTTGATCTTTTACCAGAAGATTTACGAAATATTTATAAATGTGGAGATCAACCAAGACATATGTATGTCTAGAAATAAATATTTTGATTTATTCACATAAGTAGACAACTTATTTTCCTATAGACTATTTTCATTTCTGGATCATCGAATATAATAAATCTTATTTCGTTATACTGAATAGGTGTCTTTCAGTTTTATTCAATTTCACTTATACACATCTTCGAAGGTCTATTCATTCATATTTTCGCATTAATTTGACATAATGAATACTGAAAAATAAGTAATGGTTACAATCTTTTGGCTAGAACACTTCTAGTTTGTATTCCATTCGACTAATCTATATATATATAATGTTCAGTGTCTGTCTGTCGGTATATCTGTACCGGATCAAAGGTCACATACGTCTATAAGGGGAAGAGCCAAGAGCATTATACTGAAGTGCCCATAGGTCCTCAAGGGCTATTATATGGGGATACACGTAGGTCCTGAAGGGAGTAAGGCAATAAGGGGATAATGCTTCAAACGCTACCAGAGATATAAGGCCGAAGGCTAATGGAGTATAAAAATATGTGCGATATAAGAATGTAATGTCGTAGGGCTATCTATCTGTATACATAATATCGGGTGTCTGTATGTCTGTTATTGAATGTTCAGTGTCTGTCTGTCTGGGTATGTCTATGGCCGGGTCAAAGATCGTATAAGGCTGTAAGGAAATAAGGGTATAAGAGGTAAGCTTATAAGGGGTAAGGTACAAGTGAGTAAGGTAGTAAGGGTAAGGGTATAAGGAGGAAAGCTATAAGGGAGGAAGGCTACTAGGGATCAGGCTATTAGGGAGTAAGGCAATAAGGAGGAAGGCAGTAAGGGAGGAAAGGCTATAGAAGGTTAAGGCTATAAATGGCTTAGGCTATAGAGGAATGAGTCTATGATACTGTAGAACTTCTATGTACATCATGCCCAGTGTGTGTATGTCTGTTAACGAGTGAAAGGCTAAAGGTTTGAGGTCATACGTTAGAGGGAAAAATAGCCGTGCAGTATGCACGGATTCTCGCTAGTTTTATTCCCAAAACATTCCGTTTCAATCGATTAGAGATGTACAGGATCACAAGAAAGAATAATTGTTGAAATTATAAGAAAAAGAATTCTCCTTATCGAAACTAAAGATTATAGTTAAATTATTCTATAGTCTTAAGTGATTTATCTCATAAATCATAACATAATTCAAGCAAGATGACTCGAAAAAAGTATTAGTCATCGACTGAATAAATCAAAAAATAACACGACTATTGAAAAATTGTTTTAGATATGGAACAAAACAAATTCTCGGATAGTTTTCTCTAAACTGGAACCAGATTAAATTTATCGGGACCACTAGAAGCAAAGTTACTGGGACTAATAGAAAAGAAGCTACCAAAAGTGGAACCAAAACTCTTGTTCTCGCACATCTCTAATTTTCTCTTTGTTAAACTTGCAAGTTAATTACGCAAGATATTAATATTTTTCTATATAACATAAATTTATTCTTTTCGAATCGAAATTGGATTTATTTTTTTTAGGTCTGTAGCTATGGATAAATTTAAGTATGCTATACCTTATTCAGAGTTCTTTGGTGGTGTAACAGCATTTCATTCATCAGATATTCTTGGTACAAATGGTCATCCAACAGTTTATTGGGGATGGGGTGGTGAAGATGATGATATATATTTCCGTGTTGTTAAAAAATTAAAAAAATCGATAACACGTTATCCAATTGAAATAGCTCGTTATAAAATGATTCGTACACATGGTCATACAGCTGCTGAATCAAATTCACATCGTCTTACGATATTATATTCAAAATATGATTATAATCTTGACGGTATAAATACAACAAATTACACATTACATAATATAGTTTTTTATAAATTATTTACATTGATTAATGTAACATTACCTGAAGAATCATTCGAACATATTCGTACACGTTTACATATAAAAAATAAAAAATAATGTTATTGTTTTATATTTTGAAAATAAGCTTATCTCATTATATTATCTGTGATGATATTATTAACAATGGATTGATTAGTTTTTTTTGTTTTCCAGCTAATTTTTATAAGAGAAAAAATAGTATATATTCTGCAAAGAGTAAATAGCGAAGACCTGGAACCTTGAACTACGGATTCTTTAGGTTTCGACAGAATTTTGTAACGTATCATCGAGAATTTCAGGATTTCGCTATTTATCCCTTGATTTTTCTTGAAATAATCTCACAAGGACACTGCTCCAAATGTTAAATCGCTTTTGAACCAAAATCATATTCATTTCATGAGTTATAGAAGAGTTTAGAATACTTTGGTTTATCAAGCCTTTATTCTTGATATATCGAAATTTTAGTAGGTTACCTGTGATCCTTCTCAGATCAAGTACAAAATCAACTTTAGCCTTCAAACTTTTCTAATATCTCTTATCCTAAGATATCCAATATTCAAAATTCTCTTATGCGTAAAAGTAAATTTTGTTGATATAATTATATCTTCACAAAGGAAATATTAGTTACATAATCAACTAATCTCATCTAGAACTTTGTTTGTGCAAAATTTGAAGTCGAAAGTTGATTTTTCATGTGACTTGACAAGAACCACAGCTAACTCAGTAAAATTTCGATATCTCAAGAATGAAGGTCTGAAAAAGTAAAATCATTCTAGACTTTTCTATTACTCTTTAGCATTCATCAAATGAACATTGTCTCGTTCGAAAAGCTATGTGACATTTGGAGAGGTTCCGACGTCAGTACTAAATTATTACAGATGAGAATTTTGAATAGGTTTTTTTATTGAATGTAGAAACCTGTGCAAAGATCACGTTGACCTTCCCATAATTTGTGTTGATTATACTATGTGTAATGTACCACCAAAGATAGATGTTCACCCTTCTGAACGAAAAAATCTGAGTAAAATACTGATTCTGATCACTTGCTCTGGTGATATTATGTGGTATTAATTGAAATCTTAAGAAGATCTCTGATTGTGAGATCTTCAATGATCTCGACTACCCAGGCAGACAATAAACGGTCAGAAAGGCGTTTAAACGCGTTAAAAAAGCGTTTACACCGTTTTAACTCGTTTAAACGCGTTTACTACTGAATTTTTCACTTTTAAATCGTTTTTTCAGTTTATTTTCAACTAAATTTGACAAAATCGTTAAAAACGTCCCAGTTTCGCGTTTTTTTCGAAAAAAAAACCGTTTTAACAGTATTTTTCCGTTTTGCTTCGATTAACAAAAAAAATCAAAACTACAAAAATTTTATTATTATGCTGTTAGTAAATAATGTGCATCGCCACTAACCAGTGGTTAGTAGGTGATAGTCTGCGCTACTAATCTGTTACTAATGAGCAGTAAACTTTTAATTTAACTATTCTGTGACAGTTATACCTGGTTAAATGTGTTTAAATCACGTAACACAACATAATCAGTAATCAGTCTAGTTACTTTCTAGTAAGTAGTAAGTTTTACGGCTCGTTATTTATTAGTAACAGGTAACTGATGGTTAGAACATGTATCTTTTACTAATAAACAGCAAAAGATCAGGTCCGATATTTATTATTAGTGAGTAGGAATTTTAAACCAAGAAAATTTTCTTATTGCCATTAAGTCGAAGTCAAAATCGATAGCAGTATAACGATCTTACTGAAAATACTCCGCCTAGTGAGTTTACATATTCTTTATTGATGTATTATCAGTATATCTACGCAGCAATATTTCACTCTTAATTGAAAATCGTTAAGACCAATATTGTTCAGTGTTAATATCTGATGAGAATGTAACAAAGCTTGTCTTTGATTTCTAGTAGAGTAACTGCCATAAACTGATTTGCTTAACAGAAATAGGCGTGCAGCACATCTCATACTGAATATCTTTAACAATCAGCGTGTAGACAATTAACGTTATATTGATTTGTTCAATGAATATTATAACATCATCTTAACCAATATTGGTTTATTTTACTGCACATTTAAGAAGATTAATTCTAGCTCAATTGTATTTTGTGAATTATAATAAGTGCAGACAAATATTGTTAACGTTCAAAAACTAAATGGAAGGGGGAAATCATCATTAATGTTACTACATATTAATATATCATACCAACAACATAAACGATTCCTTCCTTTTTACATTATATGATAATCATAATCTTCTCTATTTCTCTTTTAAAAGTGCAAGTACGTATGAGCAACAATCATGTTCAACCAAGATAAACAAGTTATCCTGTTCTCATATAGGTTTTAATTAAAAAATGGCATAGAGTTTAGCTGTTTCAGTAAAAGTTTCAAAACTTGATTATTTTATATTTCATCTAGTTATCATCGTCACATAGAAACAGAGTTATCATCAATCCACATTTTCAAGAAATTTTTTCCATTCTGTCTTTTCTTTCCGTCCAGTTCACAGAGAAAGGAAAAAAGAGGTCATCTTTTGTCACTCTCTCGTCCGATTATTCGCCTGTTCTTTTCATTTGGAATTCATTTGTGTTCTGTTTCGTTCACAGAGTACTTGCCTAACTGAGTAGGCCATTTTATTTCTAACGTATACTTAAAATTAATGTTAAATTCACTATGTGTAATGGCACATGCTTCTTTTGTGTAAGACTGAATCTGTTCGAATTAGATAAATTCTTTTCTGCGGAAATCACTCAGAATGAGAGAAAGAATAGGGCACTTACTACATTGCTATTAATAGTGAGTTTCTGTGGAAAATACTTCAATATTCACTAGGTTAGTGTTGACTTAGACATACTATGTACGATACCGATGATAATACAATTAGAAGAGTCACTCGCAGACGATAAACATAGCAAAGTCCATTAAATATTCCTCACTTGAAATGTTTTATATAGAATGTTCATCACGAGTACGTGTGACATATGAGACGTTTGAAACAGTTGAGTTTTCTACTCGATGAAAAGAGAATCTTAAGTCATCGAAATATGAATGAGCTTTAAAAGAAATATCGTCACTACAGGAAAAAACAGATAACATTCTGATGCATAGGTGTGGCTTAATCAATTTCGTGACCGACTTAATGCACACTATAATTATGAGATTTCGTAGTGTATTGATGACATTTCGAGTTATATCATATCTCCAAACTTTGATACTTTAGAATTTGATCGAAATGAAGTTAAATTTATTAATGATACTTTAAAAGAACATCTGTCTACCATAGTAGTTCCGATTGTAGTTTTCCTTATATTAGAAGCTGGTTAGATAGTCCGTGCTTTGCCTTTTCATCAATTCCTGTGTTAGTCGTAGTATTTTAAGTCTATTCGTCAGTCTCTCTTATCCGCCACTTAAAACATGAATGGAAATAATTCAGTTTTCTCCTCGTTGATAAACTGACTGATTATATTCAAATTATCATTAGATTAATGTTAAATTGACATATGTTTATAGTTTATACTTTGAAAACAGTGCAGAGAATTTTTCTCTCATCAGTTCGTTTCTTTTTATGTTAAGAGTAAGCTTACATTTTACTATTTACTTATTGGTATTTTTTCTTTTTGTTTTTTCTAATAGTGGAATGGAATGACAAGACGTTAATGCTGTTCGATTAAACCTACGTATTTTATCTTTCTT